GGTTGGGGTGAGAGAAGGAAGACAGGATAAAGACATGCTGTGGAAGAGAGACAGAGGTTTAACAAAGGTTTATTAACTAACACCAAAATGACGTTCACGTTAGTTCTTGATTTAAGGCTTGATATATGGGGCGTGAGGGTCTTGGCCAGGGGAGAGGGATAAGCAAGGAGACAGGTCTGAGAAAGCAACGGCAGCTGCTGGTGAATAGGTACGTATGTGCAGGTGGGAGATGGAAGCGTTGAGGGAGAGGTGGTGTGTGGCAGCTGTCCTGAGTGGTGAAGGTCCTGAGGTGGTGTAAGGGCAGGCAGGTGAGGCAAGGAGCTGGCAGGTTAACCAGATTTCCAAGATGAGTGGCTCGGTGTGATGGAGTTTTCCTGGAATAACTAGAACACGAGATTACAAGGTTAGTAGAGCACTTGAGATTCATGAACATGAAGCGTGAGGCCTGGTTACCAACATAGGGTAGTTGATGAACTGGCGAGGAAGCAGTGTCAGCAAGCAGCTTAAATCTCCAACCTGATTGCCTCAATCAGCTTCAGGTGAGGGGGGCTGTAGGCCCTGCCCATGGGTGGATACCAGGGAGGTCCAGACCTTCAGTGGGATTTTACAGCCACACAGCCAGACCACGACAAAAGGAACTGTGAAGCAGACTTCTTACACAAAAGAATGAAGCTGCATTACATGACCATTGTTTATGTTTGTGAGTTTATAAAGTGGGCTGGGACTCCATGAGGAAACCTGGTGCTGCATAAAGATCATAAACATCATGTCATGAACTAACAATGATCTCATCTAACTCTACTTCCTGCCTCTACATAGCTCGAGTTTGAGAGAGATCACACGTGTTCTTGTGCACATCTCTGACACTTTTCCTTCTTCTTTCTGCTTTCTCCCACTTCTGTTATCATTTTAGGTCCAGTGGATATCAACCTGATGTCAAAGTGCGCCCCCTGCCTTTCAGCTCCCTGCCAAAACAATGGTACCTGTGTCTCCAATGCTGCAGGATCCTACCACTGCACCTGTCCGCATGGATTCAAGGTGAGAATATCAGCAGACAGAGACGCACTGAAGGTGGCTGTCAGAGACAATATGTTTCGCTTTTAAAACCTTTTTTCTTGGTCCACATCTGAACCTATAATATAGCCACTAGATACATAGATACAATACATTTTCCTTTTTTGGTCAGTGTGTACTTTAATTTCTAAGTTTGATTAAACTTGCACTCCATCATGGTCTCATAAAAATGTTCTATTGATTTATTGCAGTCATAATGCTTGGTTGTTATCAGGCTTGCCATACGTGTTGGTGTTTTTGGAAGTATTTACAAAGTGATTTATCAAAAGTGAAAATTTTTTCAGTTGATATGGAGGCAGTCGAAATCAGTCCTTGAGCCTCTGGTGCCGTGTCATCCTGATTCCCGTGCCTACAGCCTTGTAACTGCGTACTATTTAGTGGTTCCTTTTTATTTCAACTCTTCTGAATTATAGAGTGCATCACGCAGCACAATTTTCACTTTTTCTAGAAATAGTTGCTTTTTTGAAAGGTGTCCTAGATGGCTAGCCAGGCTGCATAATCCTCTGGCATTAGGAGTATTATCAGGCTTAGCTCTGGCCTTGTATGCATAATGTACCTACTTGTCTATCAATAGAGGAATGAGGAGCGAAGCTGACTGCACTGTAGGTACTGAATGATCAAAAGATGAAGGGTGTTACAGCTGTCAATATTCATAGCTCGCATTAGAAAAGACATGCACATCGTCTACTCAGTGCAGTTTGCATAGGCGAGCATGTGCATGTCAGTGGTGTCTTACTGTACATTGCAAAAAAAGAAAGTCATAAATAGTTGTTTATGACACTGATTTTAAATGCAGGGGTTGCTTTCATGCTGTAGCATGAACGGAGCATCCAAAGTAGAACTAAAGGTGACTGAAACTGTACTCATTGTACTCATCGGCACACCCCTTATTTGCGTATCTGTATTTAGAGATCCTTGAGCTCCAGCTTCTAAAGAATAGACTGCATGCATATCTGTTTGTGCTTGTTTGACTTTAGGTTTTACAAGAACACATGCTGCATAACCTTTGCGCTTTTAC